TCATGGCAGGGAGGCATGGTGGCTGGAGGTGGTTGGAGCAGGAGCAGCAGCAGCAGAAGTGAAGTTCTCACATCATCACCAGGCACAGGAAACAAGAGAACAACTGGAGATCTGGCAAGGCTTAAGAACTCTCTAAGCCCACCCCCAGTGACACATTTCCTCCAGGATAGCCACACCTTCTAACACCTCCAAAAATAGCGCCATCATCTGGGGACAAAATGTTCACACTTGGAGCCCATGGGGGACATTTTCATTCAAACCACCACATTCCACCCCCTGGCCCTCATAGGCTCATGACTGCAGGGGGTTCGAGCCAGCGACCCCTGCGGAGTGATGATTGGGGATGAGTAAGCATTCCGTTCGTCAGCCCACACCGCCCCCAGTACTGGGGACACTCAGACGCAACCAACATACAATGGAACCGAATACACATTACCATTCCAAAAGGGAGGAATGGAGGCATAGTAAGGAAATACTGGACCAAAACAAGACCGAAAACCAGCAGGGAAAATACCCTGCTCCACGTCCAACTTCGGGGACTTTACTTCCAAAGGGCTTAGATGGCTCAGCCTCTCTAGCTTTGCTGCGCGCAACACACATCTCTCTCTTGTGCCGGTACCACTCCCTGTGTGCAGGTCTTCTTGGCAGATGTCTCTCAGCTCTGGCATCACGAACTTCTTGGGGGTCTCCATTGCCAACCAGGTTTCACCTTCACAGCTTCATGCAATGGCGTATCAGGGCCTTCTCTAGGCTGGGGAATCCCTGGTTCCTGGGATCCTGGCCTCCAAGGCTCTCTGAAACCTCGGAGGAAGAACTGATGACCCCTTCACTTTTCCATCTTTCATGCCTCTAAAGCCAGCACCAGGTGAACAACAATGCCAAGTTTGACTTCGAGTTTGGGATGGACTCCAGCCTGCTTTATCCATTTTAGAAGCTTTTCTCTTCAGGGGCCTCTGCAGCATTTTCCTTTCACAAGTTGGAGTCTTAACTGGGTGTCGTCTTGCCCTGGAGGCACTCTCTCCTTTGTTCAAGTTTGAATCTCTAGGCCCCTCCTTAATCACCTTAATCTCCTTAATCACTTTAATCTCTTTATCAATGGGATCCTCCCCATCACATGCCAGGGCTCCAACGTTTATCTACCTAGTGCTCTTTTTCAATCCATCTTGTACATTCTGTATTTCTTTCTGCCCCATTTGCTCTTTTTCACTGTAAATCTGTATAATATTCACCATTAATAGCCACATCACCATTTCTACATTAGGCTGTCTTGAAATTTCTTCCGCCAGAGAAATTAGTCCATTGTTTTTCAGTGTAGCCTCAGGCAAGCATTTAGGTCAAGGGCAGACTCCAGCCAGACTCTGTCAAAATATGCCAAGTGCTGCTTAAGTCCTTATTTCCCTCTGGAACTACACTCTTCTCAGCACTGCTTTTTTCCAGGCGCCTACTAGAATGGTCTGTTAAACTTGGCTTACAGCGATGAGCTACTTTTCTAGCTCAGTCTTCCAAAGTCTTCCACATTTCTTCAAAACCCCACATGATCAGGTTCTACACAGCCAACAGCCCACTCTCTGGTACCAATTAACTGTATTAGTCACTTTTCTGTTGCTGTGATAGAAACACTGACCTGAGCAATTTATAGAAGGAAGAGTTTATTTGAGCTTACAGTTCCAGGGGAATTGCAGTCCGTCATGGCAGGGAGGCATGGTGGCTGGAGGTGGCTGGAGCAGGAGCAGCAGAAGCTAAGCTCTCACATCCTCACCAGGCACAGGAAACAAGAGAACAACTGGAGATCTGGCAAGGCTTAAGATCTCTCTAAGCCCACCCCCAGTGACGTGCTTCCTCCAGGATAACCACACCTTCTAAAACCTCCCAAAACAGTGCCATCATCTGGGGAAAAAATGTCCAAATACTTGGAGCCTACGGGGGACATTTTCTTTCAAACCACCACACCATCAAAGCTCTCTACATTTTGGGCTGGAGATGGCTCAGTGGTTGAGAGTACTTGCGGTTCTTGCAGAGGACCAGGTTCAGTTCCCAGAATCTATGTCAAACCATAACAACTATCTGTAACTCCAGCCCCAAGGGATCTGACACCCTCTTCTGGCCCCTGTGGGTACCTGCAGTAACTTGCACAAACATGCAAGATATACACATAGTTAAAAATAAAATAAATTAAAAGCTCTACACTTTACTTTTGTGTTCTCACAGTCTGCTGTCCCTTCTTCCTGTCCCCAGGTCATGACTTACTTGATTTCTGCTTGTTACTATGGGCTGATTGGGATTCTCTGGAATTTACACAGAGGATCATACAGTATTATTCTTTTAGGTACTTGTTTTTCTCGATGTAATTATTTTCAGATTCATGTAGTGTGAGTCAATAGCCATTCATCTTATCGCGAAGTCCCATCTTATTGTGAAGATATGCCTTAGTTTATTTATTGTGCAGATTTGTCCCAGTTTGCTTAGCTGGTTACCTGTTAATGGGCATTTGGCTGATTTCCTGTTTTTAGCTATTGTGAATAAGGTTGTACATATAGCAGTCAACACGTATGCTTGTTCTCCTCTTGAATAAGACCTAGGAATGGATTGGCTGGGTCATGGAGGAAATATCTGTCTGTGGAAATATCTACCTGCCACAGTGACTTACACTGGATCACACATGACCTGGTTGCCATTGCCTTCTTTATTTCCTCTTCCTCCTCTTTCTCACTCCATTCTACTTCTCTTTCTCCTCCTTCTCCTTCTACCTCATTCTTCTCTTCCTCTCTTCCTCTTCTTCCATATACTCCCCTCTCCTCCCCTCTCTCTCCTCTTCCCTCCCCTCCTTTCCTCTCTTCTCCTCACCCTCCTCCTTGTTCCTCCCCCTCCGTTTCTTCCTTCTTATCCTTCCTCTTCCCTTCCTCTTCTTCCTCCTCCCCCTCCTCATTATTCCTCCTCCTCCTCCTCCCCCCTCCTCATTATTCCTTCCTTCCTTCCTCCTCCTCCTCCTCCTCCCCCTTCCCTCTCCCTTTGCTTCTCCTCTTCTCCCTCCTCTTCCTCCTCCTCCTTCCTTTACCTCCCTATCCTTCTCTCTCTTCTTCCTTCTCTCCCTCTTCCTCCTCCTCTTCTTTTCCTTCTTCTCATCTTCATACAGTTCATAAATTCTAGTATGCCCAATGGTGTTTATAACAAACCTCCTAATAGTTTCATTAATGTGGTAGCACTCTTAAATACACTGACTTTTTTCACATAGAGTTTCCGACTTTATATATAATAATAATTCTTGTGCCCCCACCCCCATTGTGCTTTGGGCTTGGCACAATTTTCTTTGGAAATTTGGAGGTAGCTTCTTTATTTTCTTGGTGATGCTGTTTTTGGGATTGCTGTTTCGTTGAACAAGATTACCTCTTCGATCTTTGCTTCTTTTCTGGATGTAGATGAGCATTCACACTCCCAGCCAGGAAAGGCCTATGTGGCCTAGTTCCAGTACCAACTGCATCAGTTCCAGACACCTCTCAGTTTGTACTGCTTAAATTTCCTAGACTTATGTGCAATTGTGGTTACGAAGCAACAGTTTAAATGTAAAATGCAGTGAGGTGTTTCTGTATTTGAAGCTGAAGAGGTATAAGTTCTGGTTCTGCTTCTATAAACCCAGAGCTCCCTGGAACTTAGAAATAAGATTGATGTTTGCTCCCAGTCTTCAGAAGCGCAATGCTCTGGGCAGTTTTGTAAAGAACCCTGGCTTCATGGTCCTCTGGTATGGTAGTAAAAATAGTTAAGGTAGACTGCCAGGCATGGTAGTTTATGACTATCATCCCAGCCCTGGGGAGGCTGAGGCAGGAAGATCTTGAGTTTGGCCAGCCTGTGCTCCATAATGAGACTCTCTAAAAGAGTAATCAGAGTTGTGTAACAGAATGGATAGGCTTATATACTTCCCTAATAAGAAAATCAGGAAAATCTAAGAACTACATTCCTTACAATGAGGTACAACTGAAAAATTTAATGTACTATTTGCAGACTTTTAGATGACCATGTTGAATTTGTAGTCACAAGGTCATTGCTTATCCATGCTCATCCATGTATGTATAAATATATACATACATGTACATGTATAATTGAACATCTTAAATAACTTTAATATGATGGTTAGTGTTGTCAGGATGTGGAATCACCTGGGAGACAGCTCTCCAGCAGGTCTTTGAGGGATGATCGTGGTTAGGTTCATTGGGATGGGAAGACTTGCTCTAACGGTAGGTGATGCCAGTCCCTGGGCTTAGGTCCTGTACTGCATACAAAGGAGAAAGAGAAGATTACTCTTAGGAGGATGAGAAACACAAAAACAGATCAAACACAACTATAAAATTCATAATGCTGCAGCATGAAGGTGGGCGGAATCCTGACACTCTTTCCTGTGTGAAGTTTTGAAAACTGAATTCTTATGGAAGAGGCTTTCCATTTATTCTGACGACAGTAAGTGCTGATTACACATGTGCTTCACAGGTGAGGAGGTGTGTTATGTTCAGAGTGAACTATCTAGACAGCTTTATTCTTGAGAGACCTGGCTAGGCTTTGGAGCAAGCTGAGATGGAAACACTGTCAGCTCTGGGTGTGGCGGGAAGACTCTCCCTGTCCCATTGTCGAGCATCAAGTCAATAACCAAGAAGGGAAGGAAAGCGACCCCTCTCCCACTGACTAGCTGTGGGCTGGTGATGGCAGTGTCAGCTGACTTCCTTCTCTGATGGACGGTGAAGCAAACACGCCATGAAAGTTGCATCCTCACATACCCACTTTGTGATGTCATCAGTTCTTCTAACTTCTGTCTTTTGCTTTTTGTTTTAAGACAGGGACTTGCAATGTATTTATCCCAGACTGGCCTGGCTCTCACTATCTAACCCAAACTGACCTTGAACTTATGGCAATATTTCTGCCTCAGCCTTCACAGCGCTGGGATTATAGGTGTGAATTCCTTCAAGCTTAAGAAAGATGACCCATGTACGTTTTTTCCACAGGAGTCATCCAACATGAGGACTGCTCTGCAGGCAGTGGCCCTGTGGGGAAGGAAGGCCCCTCCCCACAGCATCACTGCCATCATGATCACAGATGACCAGCAGACAATAGTGACCGGAAGTCAGGAGGGCCAGCTCTGCCTCTGGAGTCTCACACGCGAACTGAAGGTCAGTGAAGACCACTGGTATTAACTCAACAGCATTCACACAATAAACTCATCTTCTGGAAACTGCAGTGATGGTAGAAAGCTCGCACAGTGGTGGAGTAGATGCTTGCTGGACTCATACGTTGATTTTACTTATGGATTCAGAGAAAATAAAGTATTACATGACAAACCAAGATGCTAAGTGGAAATAGAGTTAATCTCACCTGCCAGCTAAGTGTCATCACCCTTTAAGCTGTTCTGTGTTTTACTGTATTATATCGTGAGTTATATATTTAAGTAAGTGAACTATACACATGGAAGTATCCTTCTAAAAATTTATGGCTCATTAATCTAAACAAAAGACACTCCTGAAAGCAACTATGAACAGAGTAGTTTCTTCATTACTTAACGTTTCTGATAGTTTCATCCTTCTTGCTGTTCGTTCTGTCTCTACTTTCCTGAGATTTTTACAGCATCAATGCCTCAACATCCAATTTACTGCCATCGTCCTCCTACTTCAGAACCTGACCTCACCTAGGATTGGACCCATCGATTAGCAATTAATTGTTTCTGTCCCAAGTCATAAACATTTAACATATTGGAATAGATGTTTGCTTAACTCTGGCAGTCTCTAGACCCAATCTGAACAATTAAACTAATGATGTACTTAAAGTATATTGCCCTCATTATGGAGCCTTTTAAAGATCAAAACTATTTTTAGCCTTTAAAGTTTGTCACTTTAAAACCTAAATTAACAATTAATTGTAATTCTATTTTATGGTGTAATTAATTAACACCTCCCATCACTGAAACCTTCTGCTGCAGGGCTGCCAAGAACTGCACATCAGACCATCTCAGCTCAATGCTTATGGACAGTTAAGAGAAGGAATTGGTGGTACTGCCACAGCTGTGCTTTGAAAATGGTGGTCATATATGTTTGAAAATATGTGATTTCTATTTCATTTAAATGCATATTCCTAAATGGCTTAAAATGTCTTACTGATCTTTTTCTTGTGGATACATATGGTTTTCTGGCTGAAGTGGCTGCCTAGCAATGCATAGGTCGTTCATTGTAAGCTTAAGAAAATTGAAATCCTAGCATTCTGATTTTTCCCATATACTTCTGATATTCATTCAGCATTTTTTTCAAATTGTATTTTGAGTGTATAGTAAGTTAGACTGAATGCTAGATAATCATGAGGTTAGGGATGATTTTTTTTTCATTGGTTTTGACAGTCTCCCAAGTCACAGTCCACCTAAAAGTCTATGATGTGAACCAGGGTGGCCTTAATCTTGAAGAGGTCCACCTGCCTCTGCCTCCCAAGGGCTGGGATTGAAGGTACATGCCAATGAGTTTAGAGTTGAAAAAGAATACTTACGTTGGCTGCTGGGGAGGTTGTAGTTTAGGAGAGTAAGGACTTGGGATAACGTAGGTCACCCTGTGAGGAACCTAAGTAGGTAGTGTGCATTCTCTTGGAGTGTCAGTTTGAATGAGAAAGATCCCTCATAGGTTCGAATATTTGAACACTTGGTTCCCAACTAGTGGCACTGTTTGGAGAGGATGAGGAGGTGTGGCCTTGCTGGAGGAAGTATGCCACTGGGGTCAGAGTGGGCTTTGAGAGTGCTAGCCTCACCCCACTTCGAGCTTTCTCTCTCTGCATCTTTTTTGCTGCTGATGATGTGAGCACTCAGCTTTCTGCCCCCACCACCATGCCTGCTGCTTGCTGCCATGCCTCCCTGTATCCCTCTAGGGCCATAAAATCAAATAAACTGTTTCATAAGTTGCTTTTGGTCATGCAGTTTTACCACAGCAGTGAAGAGAAACTAATACACTCTGGAAAGTTCTGCCATGTTCACTTTAAGAGAAAGCCACCTGCTCAGGGTTGGAACTCTGGTTCTTAACAGGAGGATAGTTTGCCACCCAAGACACATTTGATCACATTTTCAGATATTTTTGTTTGTGAAAATTGGAAGCAAAGAGATTCTATTGACATTTAATGGTATAGGACAGCCTGGAACAAAGGATTTCCCACCCTAAATGCCAGTAGTTGCAATATTGAGGACCTCATCATTAGAGAGTGGGGATATGGATCAGATGCAAGGGTGGAAGAAGAAGGTCATTCTGTGTTAGGAAGTGTCTTGCACCTGCAGGTAGATGAAGAGCCCTCTGTTGCTAGAGTCTAGATATAAACCTGGGCCAGAGACAGGTGAGACTTAGAAAGAAGGTAAGATTTGGTCATGGAGAAGTTTAGATGCTTAAGTTCTGGTATCTTAAAAAATCCAGGGATTCTGTGGGAGCTGGGTGCTTACCTGTCTTTCTCTGCTCATGGATGATGGGATGCCAGGTGTTAGGGAGCTAGAAAGTAAGTTTCCCTGTCCTGGGTTTAGTATCACATGATGAAGTCATGCATGCCTCCTCCAGACTCCAGGTCTACTTCCATAGCCCACCGGTGTCCCAGGACGCTCTGAGGTCTGCTTGAGTCTTCTAATATCAATTGCTGGCTCTTCATACCATTAAACACAAGGACAGAGATAACCATCCTCTCAGGCAGTTTAACATTTCTATGACATATTTGCTACTGTCTAATATGCAGGAGGAAACATGAAAAAATTAAGAGTAGCGATGTGTGTGTGGAAAAAGAATAGAGGTGGGGTGAAGTCCTAACCCTGATATTTCCCAACTCTGTGACACTGAGAACATGCCATGTTCTTTGAGCCTCGCATTACTCAGCTGGGAAATGGTGACTTCCCATGATATGGCTGCACTAGTCACTGTCTAGAGCATGGTGGACATTCACCTAGTCATGTTCCTTTTTCCTTTCTCACGTGTGCTGTTCAGAATACCTAAGGATGGGGTGGGAGGGACCAGAGCTTCATACAGGTAGAATGAATGCCTAATAGTCAAATCCTCCTTGATTTCATTATGACAAGAGCTGGGTATGATTGTATAATTTAAAAAACTTTTCTCAGCAGCTCTAGAGTATAGTAAAATGTAAGGATGGTGAGTGAACACCATGTACTCATGTATATATGGGATTTGGTAGGAGGAGGAGAAGCTCATAGGAAAGGTGACAGTCTGTCTTCCCTCTTGATGTTTTGCCGGGGTGGGGGCAGTCTGATGTGCCTGGAGTTGATGTGGCTTTTAATCCATCAGAAAGGATGAAGCTCACATGTGGCTGTGTAAAGATTGCATTGTTTTATGACTTGGAATCGTCTGAATTTTCAAGGAAGAAGGTAAAGTTATATAATCTAGTAAGTCACTTTAATCAACCATAAGACCTTCTTTGTAGCACTGCAATTTTAGTCTGACAAGAGATTTTTAAAAATAATCCTGATCATGCCAGGTATGGTGGCACGCGCCTTTAATCCCAGCACTGGGAGACAGAGGCAGGTGGATCTCTGTGAGTTCAAGGCCAGCCTGGTCTACATAGTGAGTTCCAGGACAGCTGGGCCTACAGGGAGACCCTGTCTCAAAAAGACCAAAAAAATAATAATAATAATCCTGATCATGATAGAAATGAAGGGAGCTATTATCTTGTGAGGTAATTTACCTACATGGATGTTTGGTTACCACCTCATTTATGTTTAAATAGTTCAGAAAAATCTATAGTGGATATCCATCCATGTGGAATACAGGTATTTTATAACCCACAAGACATTTTCTATTCATTCAAATTATTTTTTCAGATCCATTATGGTTATTACCCATTTAAGGAAACCTTATGTGTTTTCTTTATGAAATTATTTTATTTTCATCTATGTGTGTAGTTGTGGTGTGTGTGTGTGTGTGTGTGTGTGTGTGTGTGTGTGTGTGCATATATGTGTGTGCAGTACCTATCGAGGCCCTGGAGCTGGAGTTACAGGAGATTATAAACTACACAATGTAGACCCTGGGAACAGAACTCTGGTCCTCTGCAAGAGTAGAAATCATTCTTAGCCACCGAGTTGCCTCTCCATTCCCATGTTTTCTGCATTTTAGTTTTAATTTTCAGAATATTGTTTTACAAACTAATACAAAATGTATTTTTTATTTTGGACATGAGATAATGAATGAAACACACTCATAGGGGGACTTTAAAACTCATGTAGGAGCAATACATTAGCATTGTAAGTAATCATTCAGTTAGTTTTCTTGTGTATAAAGATTTGTTTTACTCTTTATGAGGAAGAGAGTCAAATTAGGTATTTTAAAATTTTAGTAGCTCCTTTTTAAAAGCAGTTTAGAAAAACTGAGTAGAAGGAACAGGGTTTCTGGTTCCTTTCCACATAAATCTCCCCCCACCCCCAGCTTCACCATGTCACCCTGCAGTGGCATATTGGGTACAAGCAATTAATTCAGAGTTTGTGATTACCACCACCCACCGTTTACATTAGAGTTGCTACCCTCTTCCTGTTGCTTCATGAACATTCTGTGGGTTTTGATAGACGTGTACTGACTCATGCTGGCTGTATGTGGTATAATACAGAGTAGTTTCACTGTTCTAGAAACCTGTGTTTCCCCACCATCTCCTGCTTCCCCAAACCCTTGATAGCCACATCAGGGGCTAGTTTCTGCCTCTCTAGTTCCACCCTGTCTAGAGTCAGAGTTGGAGTCACAGAGTGCCGGGCTGTCCAGGGTGGCTTCATCCACCTGAGTAACATGCATTTCATTTGGTCCATGTGACTTGGTAGCTCATTTCTTTTCAGCATTACATGATATTTCTGTACACTGCGGTTTACGCATCTGCTCAGCTACTGAAGGGCAGTGTGGTGGTTTGAATGAGAATGCGCTCCCCCTTAGGCTCAAGTATTTGAACACTTGGTCATTTGGAGGTGATACTAGGAGGGGCATGAAATCTTCAGGAGGTAAGGCCTCGCTGGAGGAAGCGTGTCACAGGAGTGGACATTGAAATTTCATAGTTTTGTCCCACTTCCAGTCCGCACCCCCCTCTGCTGTAAAGATGTGTGCTCTCTGTTTTCTGCTCTGGCTGCCTCCTGCCGTGCCTCCCCACCATGATAAACTCTTATACGTCTGGAATGATAAGCCAAATAAACTCTTCCTTCTTTAAGTTGCCTTGGCCATGGCGTTTTGTTACAGAAACAGAAATAACCAACGCAGGCAGTTTGACAGCTTTTACACTCTTGGTAATGGTGAATGAAGCTGTTACAATCCTGTGTGGGTTTTTGTGTGGAATGCTTGCCAGTTGGTGTGGGGGATACCAATGAATGTTATTGCTGGATGTTACAATGCAAATATGTTTAATTGCATAAAAAGCTGCTTGACTTTCTCTCACGTGCCTGTACCTTTGGGTTCCTATCAGATGAGTCCTGCTGCTCATGTCCCGCACTTCTTGTCAGGGTTCTGGGTTTCCCCTCTTCTGTTAGCCATGAAGTGGTGTTACACCGTTTTGATCTTGGTCCTTTTCCATCTGATATGCAGTCATTTGACCTGCCAGATGACCATCCTTCCATGACTTACTTGCTTAGAATTTTTGATTTTATCTTTTTTTTTTTTTTTTTTAAACAAACCAAGTCCATTTTACTTTTCAAGACTTGCTCCTCAGCCAGACTGGCCTCAAATTCATAGCCCTCCTGCCTCAGCCTCCTGAGTTCTGGGGTAGTGTGTACCCCCATGCCAAGCTCTTTTGACTAATTTTTAAACAGATGTATTTTTTTTTCCATTGGGAAAACTGAGTTTCTAGGAACTCTGCATATTTTAAATAATCACATTACAGTCTCTTATTTTCTTGGTTATTATTTTTTTAATATTTTATTATTTTTATTTTATGTGTATGAGTGTATTGCCTGCATGTAGATAAGTGCATTCGTGTCATGCAATACTCACAGAGGACAGAAGAGGCCGTTGGATCCCCTGGAACTAGCGTTACGGACAGTTGTTAGCTGCCATATAGGTGCTGGGATTCAAACCTGGGTCTTCTGCAAAGACAACCAATGTTCTTTACCACTGAGCCATCTCTCCAGCCCCTTGGTCATTATTTTTACACCAATAAGCAACATTATTTTTAAGTTTGGTAATATAATTTAGAAGTGAAATAAGATGCTTAAAATGTCTTTCCCAGTAGCTAGATTGGTTATATGTCTATGACTTGTGGAATTTCAGTTTTTCTTTTAGATTTATTAGTACCTAATTGGCAGATGAAATTATATTTATTAAAGGTGTTCCATGTGGTGAGTTGCTGCTTAGATGTGTGTAAAACACTAATATTAACAGACACATACGTCCCCTTATACTGTTGCTGTTCTGTGTATAGTGGGAACACTTAATATTTACTTACTCTCAGCAAATTTCCCACAGTACATCATCATCATTATTTTTCTTGTGTAAAACCCAGCACTCACACAGGACAAATGTCATTACTCTACACTGAGCTACATCCCTTACCCACAAGACCATACAATTATCCAAGCTGCCATGCCATGCATCAGAGTCTCCCAAACTTATCCATCATATAACTTGATGCTCCAACCCTCTGACAATATCTGCCCTTTCCTCTCCCACCATGTTCCTGGAAACCACAGTTCTCTGCATTTCTATGAGTTGGGGTATGTTAGACTATCATGGGAGGGAGAGCCTGCCGTGTGTCTTTCTGTGGCTGGCTTGCTTCATTTAGCAGCTCTTCCTCCAGGTCATGCCTGTGCTCTCTGTGGATGACTAAGCACCCCATTCCATATGTCTTAGTTTCTTTTCCTGCTGCTGTGATAAAACATCTGACAAAAGCATCATAAGGGTGGAAGGGTTTATTTGGGCCAAGTTCAGGGTACAGTCCTTCATGGTGGGAAAGCCATGGCAATAAGAGTGGGCGGCAGCAGGTCACATCACGCCCACTGTCAGGAACAGACAGTGGTGAGAAGACGCTAGTGCTCAGCCCACCTTCACCGTTTTTCTTTCAGTCCAGAGAAAGGTCACCCACAATTAAGATGGGTCTGCCCATGTTTATTGATGTAATCAAGATAATCCCTCAAAGACATTCTCAGAAGCTAGCCTTAGTCTAGGTAATCCCTCACAGGCATTCTTAGAGACCTGTCTCCCAGATGACTCTAGATCCTGTCGAGTTGCTGGTTACCACTGACCCTCATACGATTCATTTGGTCTGTTTTGGGTTCATCCATCAGTGACTACTTAGATTGTTTTTAGAAGAAGAGTACTGAGACTAAAGAGACAAAGAACACAGGTGCAGATACCTTTTTAAAGTACCCATTTCAGTTTCAGATAAATACCAAAAGAATTTATTTTTATTTGAGAAACTACCACACCATTTTCCAAATTTCTTTATTGACATTCTGCTCATCAACAAGGCCCTACGGTGGCTACAAAAAGGTAATGTTTTCTTATAGTATTTTTTAAAATTAATTTTACTACTATAATCTGCACACAGTTTTATGTTTAGAAAGAGTCTCACTGTGTAGCACAGGCTGGCCTCAATATGTGACCTTCTTGTCTCAGCCTATCTAGTGCTGGAATTACAGACACACGCTACCACACTTGGCATGGAATCTGTGTGCTCATAGGCTGGAATCATTTGGTGGCATTCTGTGACTTACTTGTGTTCAAAACCTAATGTTGAAAACCAAGTCTGGCAGCCACCTAAGTTTCCTAATGGACAGCAAATAAAAAGTTTGTTACAGCACAATCCCTTCACCCCTGGTTTCCTAATCTGCAGATTTGATGGGTTATGTATCAGATTTCCTGAAACTGTGTACATAAAAATTTCAAGATAAAAGCTTTCCTATTCAGAACATATAGAATGGTGCTTTTGTCTTTCCAAAAGTCTAGAGTTGTTTAGAGAATTCATCTTTATCATTTTCAGATTTGTGCTAAAGAGCTCCTCTTCGGTCACTCAGCTTCAGTGACATGTTTGGCAAGAGCCAGGGATTTCTCTAAGCAGCCGTATGTCGTGAGCGCTGCTGAAAATGGGTGAGTGGCGTGTGGAGACCTCGCTCCATCTCCACTTTCTTCCTTCTTTAAAGGCCAGGAAGGTGGGGGGGGTTCTGGAGAGGTGCTTCAGTGGGTAAAGGGCTTGTCAAGCAAGCATGAGTGTGAGTCCCCGGTGCCCTTGTAAAAAGTCAGGCACAGTGGTGTGTGCTGTAACCCCATCACTGGGGAAATGTAGACAAAGGATCTCTGGGGTTTGCTGCCCTGCCAGTCCAACCAAATTGATGAGCTCCAGGTTCAGTGAGAAACCGTGAGAAAAGGACCAAGGAAGACACCCAACATTGACTCTGTCCTCCACATTTATGCACCCCCCACATGCATATGCACCTACACAAATATGTGGCCCTCCTGCCTGAGTGTATCTAGTACACACACACACACACACACACACACACACACACACACACACATACACACATACACAAATAACGTGAAGAGCGATTGAAAAAGACACCCTGTATAGACCTCTGGCTTCCATGCACACATGCACATATGTGCACATGCTTATGCAAACCCTTTTTATCTCTCCAACACAAATGTTATGATAGGGTTAGGGAAATAGCTCAGTTGGTAGGGTATTTTCCTAGCATGTATGAAGCCCTGGGTTTGAGCTTCATCACTCTATAAACTAAGAATGGAGGTGTCTGCTTGTGATCCCAGCACTTAGGAAGTAGAGGCAGGAAGATCAAGAATTCAAGGTCATCCTCGGCCACATAGTGAGCTGAGGTCAGTCTGGGCTACAAAATAAATGAACAAAAGTTGTGATGAAGCACAAATGTGGGACTGAAAGAATGTCAGGGTCAAGTTACTCTTCTGATGTTTGAAGGAGAAAATTTAGATCCTGAGTGACTGCGTAAGGTGTCTTAGTTCCAAGGAATATAATCAGTATTGTGGCTCTCAATGTCAGGCCCTTTTTTAATTATTGGGGACCAAGATTTGTGCCCCAACACATGTATAGATCTTGATGCCTATATCACACTATCTCCTCCCAAGGCTCGGGGATCATTGTGGAAGAGGGGGTAGAAGATTGTAAAAGCCAGAGCAGGTGGACAACTACAAGAAAACAGTGTTTCCCAGGCATCAAGGCTGTTGGACATATGAACTTGCAGCAGTTGCACAGCATGCACAAGACCTATGCAAGTTCAAGCCAGGCAAACCCCAGCATAGAGAGTGGGAGCAGGGTCAGAAACCCCAATCCTGGCTGAGGAGCTATTGGCAGTTGGTGGCTGCAGGGAGAGGGTGTCGATTTTCTTTAAGGATGTGATGCCATGTAGGTTGACTAGGCTCAAGGGAGGACCCACACCCAAGAACATTTGGGGAACACACATTAGACTCCATAGGCCTTAAAAATTACAATAGAGGACATGGAGTCAGGGGAGGGGTGGAAGACAAGGTAGAGAAGGGAGAAAGGCTGACTATGATCAAAATACACTATATGGCATTCTCAAAGAATCAATAAAAAAAATTTTATTATTTGTATTGAATTTTTGAAAATTTCCTACAATATATTTTGACCATATTTAGACCCCTCTCCTATCTGCCCCCCTCTGATAGTACCCATACCAGATTTCATATACTCTGACATATATATTAAGGCCTATCGAGTCAAATTTGTGTTCCCAAATGTCTGGTATGGGTCGATCCATTGGATCCTAGTTAACAATAAAAAATACTTTAAAAAAATGAACAGAAGAGAGCAGTCATTTAGGACTGCAATGACTCTGAGAGTAAAGGAAGGGGACATGCACAGTACTTGGGGACAGGTTTATGAAGGCACTTCTACCCCAGTGAAGTAAGACTTAGCTTTAGGAATCCCTCCCAGCAACAGAAGTGCCGGGCAGCTGATGAGTCTTTTGCCAATGTAAGTAAAGGAATGTGGGGTGCATTTATCATGCATTTGTGAGCTTTTATTTGAGAAAGAACAAGGGAACCCCTTCTTTTGTTTTTAATGTATGGAGAAATTAATATTATATGCCTCCGAGTTTTGAGAACCAGAAGAATAATGAAGAATCAAGTGTCCAGTTTAGTCAAATGGCCAGTAGCAGGGATGTCAAAGAGCTACCTGTGTTCGTGGTTTATGATAAAGCAACTGTGGCTTATATGTCGAGGGACTGAATGTTGGAGAAGAAAGAACTGAAATACCCTATTTCTCTTTCACACTTGCCTGCAACCGTCGTGTCCCAGACCACCATGGGCCTGCTGCTCATGCTGAGATATTATTCCCACTCTGGAGAATTTAGAACTTATTTTTTCTGAGACTACTGAGAGAGTTGAGAAAAACTCAATAGCTAAGTAAGACACACATCTGAAAGTACCTGAGTTGCAGCTACTGGAGGTTTTTCCTGCAGTGGTTCAGTTCCAAAGAGAAATGAGGGTTAATGGGGAAGTGTCTGATGCAAAATGCTCTCATCATTCCTGGATTTGGTGTGATTCTCTGTCTATCTTTGCTAAAAAAATGATTTGAAATGTTCTTTTGGGGTGCCACACAAAGGAGCTTGGTATGCTAAGATATTTATTAGAGGCTGAGTTTGGTGGTACCTATCTGTAATCTCAGCACTCAGGAGGCTGGGGCAGGAGATCAAAGGTTTGAGGGCTCTGAGCTCCAAAATGAGATGTTGTTTCAAAAAGTTACAAAAAGTAACTTGGGAGCTGGAGAGATGGCTCAATGGTTAAGAGCACTGGCTGCTCTTGCAGAAGACCCTGGTTCAATTCCCAGCACCCACACGATGGCTAACAATTCTCCTTAACTCCAGTTCCAGGGGAATCCGATGCCCTCTCTGACCTCCATGGGTATTACATAACACAGGTGCACTTATACACATGCAGGCAATGCACTCATACACACAAAATAAAAATAACATACAAAAAAAGAAAAGTAACAAAGTAAATAAAATTATAACTGTATTTCTTAGTACCTACACTTTAGCTACTGTGCTCTTGCAGAATCCCCCCTTAAGCCAGCATTCAAAGTAACTTTGCTAGGTTGACCTTTTAGTCCTCAAAGAACCTTTTCAGCTGTACACCCATCGTGATGGACTGTGGACTTTGTGCGCCTGCCTCAGTGATGAGCAGAAGGGACAGCAGGTTCATGACTCAGTTTCTCATTTGTTCCCACAGTATTAATAGATTGTAGGCTAAAATTGAAAGATCAAGGAATCCCAGCCAAGTATAAGATAATGAAGGAATGAACCATTACAGAGGTGACATGGAATCAGTAGACAGCTAAGGAGAAGATCCCTGAAGTAGACAGTGGCAAGGACACGTTAATTACCAAGGGATGCTAACTAAATCCAGACCCGCTTCTGACCAGAAAGTGAAGGTTATACAACAGTGGACTCCTCCAAAAAGTAATGAGAATATATCTATCAACTTAGAACTACATATCCAGCAAAATTACCTGTGAAAACTGGGGGAAAATAATAGCACTTAAGACAATACTACCAAAAGATCTATAAGTAACAAAATGCTATACGACATTCTTTGAAATTCAAGTGAAGATTTCAGAAGGCAAATGTGAGACGGAAGGAGCCATATTGAACAAACTCACCAAGTTTCTAGGAAACTTAAATGAATACAGACTCTAAGATGTAATGCTTATGGGTTCTCACCCTCTGGGTCCCCACACATAGGATCGTCTCAGACCACAGCAATACGAAAGAGTAAGCTGGTCAGTCAACATGGCTAGTGTTGGAAAGGTGGGTAGATGCTGATTAACTTCAGACTTTAATTATGTGCACACAGTGCCTTTCTGAACAGAAAAGGGAACACAAATAAAAGAAATAAAGAACATGCCATATGATTTTTAAAAGGATTTTTAAAAAAGCATTTAACCCAAAGAAGACAGTATTGTCTGCCCACATTTGGGGAAGCTGGGGAATCTGTGAGAAGAGACCAAGAGTAAGTTTGAAAGCGCACAGAGGTGATACTGTTCATTGATAGGAACCAAAGACAGAAGATCCCCTTTTACTGAAGGTGAGATATGTGAACTGCCACACTTCTTCATGCAGATTTCCATGGTCAGATGGAGGAGTCTCTGTTTCCCATAGCACAGGGACAGTACATGAAGACGTGGGACTAGAAAACTTTCAGAGAGAGTAGAGGAGAAAATAAGAGTGTCCATGTCTGGGGCTGCAGAGATGGCTCTGTGGCTAAGAGTGCTTGCTCTCCTTCCAGAGGATCCAAGTTCAGTTCTCAGCACCCACATCAGGAAGTTCCCAACTGCTTATAGCTTCAACTCCAGGGAACCCAACACCTTCCTCTGGTTTCCACGGGCACCTGCACTCACATGTGTGCACCCCCCCCACACACATATATAACACAAACCATTAAAAACCGATAAAGATACCAGCTTAAAAACAAGCTTACTTAGAATCATATCTGTTTATCAAGAGTCTTTAAAGCCTCACATACTGGTACCCCGTGACAACCATGGAGTTAAAAGTCTTGGAGGTCACTTTTAAAAATATTTTCAGATGATATTTGGTGGGTAGTAGAGTTGGAAACTCCAACAGTAACCTACACTACTGTATAGCACTAATGGTTTAGTGTTGGCTGTTTAAAATTCAATTTCTTTATCCTTGAGATATCTGAATTTACCCTTTAGATGAGATTGAATACCTTCAGGGTGATATGATCATAGACCATATTTACCTTTTAGACCTTTTATTAGCTGTTTTATTTCTGCAACATATTATTTCAATTTCTGTCTTTTCTTATTTTCCCTACATGCTCACAAATGCACATGTGTTTGTGTGTGCACACAGGTTTTTTTCCCTCCCGTTTTGCAGAATTACATGATTTTTTCAGATGACGTTGAATCCTTTTGAGGATACAGTTATATATAAACAGAGGAGTTGTCTATGAATATTTTCCTCTGTATCTAGAGCATGCCCTCTCTACCTCATGATCCATGATGTTTTGGGATGGACATTCTTTGTTGTGGAGATTATACTGCACAAGGCAAGCGGTTGCAGTATATCTGCTGTCTCCCCACTAGATGCCAGTAGTGTGTTCCTAGTGGCCGCTTAAGGATGCTGCAAACATTGCTGTCTAAAGGAAGGTAGTAGTGATAGCATGGAACAAAATAGCCCCAGCTTCAAAATCATGGGTTTAAACTATTGGCTCTCAGTGTATGGTTAGAAAAGCAAAGAAAACCAAACCCTTCAAATGATCAAATGCATATAATATTTAACATCATTAATTTGTATTCTTTCCCTTAACTGCATCATTTCCAATGATGCCTATAAAGCTTGCTTTTATGTCTATATAAATTTTGGCTTGTGCCTTGAAATTGTTGAAGCCAAATAATATTATACAACTCTGAAACCATCATTTTTGTGTAAACAGAAAATAATTTGAACACCTTACGCTGGATATTTCACAGCTTCATTTTATAGACTGTATTTATGCCTTTGTAACATGCATTAAACAAAACAAGAACTTTCAATACAATGAGAGTTTCTAAATAAAGTGGCAAGGATGATTCATTTCAGGATTTCAAATCTGGAAAAAATCAGAGAAATAAACCTGATTAGCCATGTACCACGTGTGGCCTCTTGGTGGCACTGTTTGCTCTTCTAAAAAGCGAGCCACAGCTCTTGATGCGTTTTGTTCTCAGGACACATAGTGAAAGCTCACTGACACAAAGCATTTTCTACTGATGCTGCTTCCATGGGGAAACTGTCATGCGGTCTCTCTTGCTGGTCCCGACGACTGTATTCCCAGTTTGTTGTTGGCCAGGGTAGCCCTAAAGCAAAGCTTGCAGGCCTCAGACAGGGTGCAGTTACTCAAACAGAAAGATGCAGCTATGTGTGTCAACCCTGCTAACAACCACAATATTTTCTTACCAGTAATCTGTAACAAAAAAACCACAAGAACCATCAGATTGTACCTAAGAGCAGCACTAAAATAAAATTAAAAAAGAAAAACATGGTGGCCCAAAAATTATTGCAGTCAGTTGTGTGGAAATGGCAGAAAATAACACAGACCTGTCTATCCATTCTAGGGAGATGTACCTGTGGGACATCAGCAATGGGCAGTGCGTGGAGAAGACCACCCTTCCTTATAGGCACACTGCAATCTGTGTAAGTGTAGTCCCTTCAGAACATTCTGGATACTGAAACAGAAATGCAGTTTGATTTGATATCTATGCACTTAAAGAAATGTCTTCAGGGAATGCCTGTCCCTTGAAGTTTCTTTTTTCCTTCATGACAGCAAAATATCATCAGTAGTCATGCTATTCAGGTGTTTCTCTCCAACCAAAGATACTGTTCAACATTTTTATTCCTGATTAATTCATTTCTGTATCTTATCTTTGTAAACAATTTGTATATTGTTTCATATTTCTTAAACACAAAATATACAGGTGCACATGGAATGGGTTTACTTTAATGAAGCTTTTATAAAGCGTGAAACTTTTTCTGAGGCTGGAGAGATGACTCGGCAGTCAAGAGAATGCATTGATCTTCTAGAAGACCTCTTCTAAGAACCCTCGTAGGGCAAGAGAATGCATTGATCTTCTAGAAGACCTCTTCTAAGAACCCTCGTAGGGCAAGAGAATGCATTGATCTTCTAGAAGACCTCTTCTAAGAACCCTCGTAGGGCAGCTCACACCTGCCTGTGATTTTGGTGCCAGGGGATCTGACATCCTCTTCTGGCCTCTGCAGACATGTGCACTCAATTGCACATGCATACAGACACATATGTCAACATAATTAAAAGTTAAAAACTCTTTTATTATTGTTTTTATTTTATGTGTATTGCTTGCATGCATGTAAGTGCACCCATCGTGCGATGCCCGTGGAAGTCAGAAGAGGGCGTCAGATCCCCTGGAACTGAAGTTGCAATGGTTATTAGTTGCCATGTTGGGTGCTGGAAACCGAACCCGACTCAGTAAAGCCACTGTCCTTTACTGCTGAGTCATCTCTTTAGCGCCCTTAAAAACTCTTTTTAAAAAAGAAAATAAAGTTTTCCTATATTTGTTCCGTACTGGAGCAAGAACCCAAGGACTTGAATATGCCAGGTAAGTACTCTAACTAGGTGAGCTACATCCCCAGAAATTTTAACCAATTCTATCCATGGATTTCTTGATTTCTGAAATATTTGTCAAAGAACAACAGGCCTAGTTATAATCTTCATAATTACTTTCCACTTTCAGGGCTTTTATTTTCCGTGTTGGAGGCTGAACCTAGAGCTTCCTCACACATTGTGATGGTTAATCCCACTGGTCAACTTGGCACACTGGGAAGCAGTAACCTCACTTGAATTACCACCATCAGATTGGAGGCATGTTCTTGATTGCTAATTGGTGCAAGAGGCCCCAGGCAGGTGGGCCTGGGCTGTGTAAGACAGGCAGCTGAATTGAGCCTGGGAGCAAACCAGTAAATGTTGTTCCTTTGTGGTCTCTGCTTCAAGTTCCTGCCTTGAGTTCCTGCCTTGGCTTCCCTTGATGACAGACTGTAATCCTAATATGAAATAAACCTCTTCCTCCATGAGTTGCTTTTGGACAAGAGTGTTTTATCACAGCAACAGAAAGCAAACTGAATCAACATGCTAGGCAATCACTTGCTAGGGAACTCTATCTTAGCCAGACTTCTTTGGCTTTGAAATTATATATATTTATGGGATTTTTGGAATTTTGATACAATATAATTTGATGGTATTTAGATCCTGTCCCCTAAACACGACTCCCCTCTTTACCCTCTGCCCAAATATATATATTTATATATAGCCTGAAGAATCTAATTTGTATCTTAAAATGACCTTCTGTGTGGGTCCATCCACTTGAGCTTGCTTAACTTACCAAGAATCCCATGCTTGAAAAAGACAGTCTCTTCACCTCCCAGCCCCCATCAATTGCCAAAGTTTCCTTAGGTTACTCACTTCCCCATGTCTATGCTGGAATTTTGTCTGATTTCAGCTTGCACGGGGCTTGTACATGCTGTCACTATTGCTGTGCGTTTGTATGAATAAGTAGACTCTTAAACATTACTGGCCATTACTCCTGCTCTTGGTTACCCACCAGAATTTTGGTGTTAAGACACTACAGACATGAGCTGTAGAACAAACAAGGCAAATCAGTTTGGTGCTGACTTGAGAGCCTCATCTCTTTTGGCTAGCTTTCATAGTGCTAGAAAGTGCTTTCCATATTACTAGAAAGAAAAAAATAATTATCAACCTTCCCCACCTGTGAATCCTTGTGACCTACAACTGGCCTGGCAAGATTTGCCCACTGGTGCAAGAGTGGCACGAATATTATGGGAGTAACCAATCACTCTCTAATTAGATTTCAAGTCTACTTCATAGGATCCAGCCAATACCTGACATTGATATCAGGCTTAGGAATCTGAGGCTAGATGGGTCACAGGACATAGGAAAGAGCCTAATATTACTTTTCTGCTGAATAGTTTTCATATTAAACTGACTTCTAATAACTTATAGCCATAGGTTAATGTGTTCCTCAACTCTCACCAGAGAAGCAGATGGTGATTAACACAGACATGGCCGAGGAGCAGAGAGCAAGAGGCTGCAGAGAGCTGCCTGCAGGTGTCCCTGAATAGGACACCTACATCAAATGTCTGTCTCCCAAGGCTCAGGGATCACTGTGGTAGAGGGAGCAGAAAGATTGTAAGAGTTTTCCAGACAGTTGTTCAGTTATTCTTATGAACTTCCCTAATTTTAAAGTGAGGTCTGCCTTTGGTGGATGGATTAAATCAAATGTAGCTAGTCAGTCGCACTATTCCTTTGTCACTGACAGCATGTCTGTGTATTACATGGAGTGCTTCTGGTGGTAGTGCCTGGCACTGCAAGGCTCACTCTGTGCTCTGGTTCAGACCCAGTTACAGTGCTCAGGGAAGAAGAATACATGACCTGTTTTTTTAAGAGGAAACATTTACAAAACCTAGTTGGTTCAGGACAATCCCTAATCTTCACATACTTTCATTTCTTCTTAATCTGATGCAGTACTGCTGGGGTAAAGAACCTGGGTTTTTGTTGCTGCTTAACTCAAAATAACACCGCAGAAATTATCTATGAGTGTTCTATGATTTGCAGTATTTCTTTGAAAAGAAACAACCTTTCTCCTGAAAAAAATGATGGGGTACATTGCATGGGTGTGGGATGAATAAAGGGATTTTGGTTGTTATCCAGCTCAGAGATTTCTCTGACTAGATGCCAAGACTAAAGTTCAGAGATCTCACCACAGTTGAAATTATGATACATTCTTTCTTGGAATTCCATTTCACAGTATTACCACTGCTCCTTCCGCATGACCGGAGAGGGCTGGCTGCTCTGCTGTGGGGAGTATCAAGATGTCCTCATCGTGGATGCTGGAACTCTGGCTGTGGTCCACTCCTTTTCTTCTTCACAGTCCCCTGACTGGATGAAGTGCATGTGTGTCGTTCACTCCGTGAGAATTCAAGGTTGGGCTCTGTAGAACTCTGAGGGATTGTGCACTGATTTTGTGAGTGAAATATATGTGAAATTGTTGGGCAAGAGTTGAGAATGCTATTGATGTGTGCTGACTATATAGCTCTGTAAGACAGATCTGGGAAAACTGAGATCACTCCACCCGGGGGTCTGGTTAATAGGAAACCGGTAAGAGGTAAAGAAGGTAAAAGAAAGCAGTGCTTCTTGTGGGAGATGTGACCAGACTGGGTCTCTGGGTCTCTCTCTCTCTGTCTCTCTCTCTCTTCTCTCTCTCTCTCTCTCTCTCTCTCTCTCTCTCTCTTTCTCCCTCCCCCCTTTAATTTTTCTTCCATTTCTTTCCTCTTTCCCTTCCCTTTTCCCATTCTCCTTTTTTCTCTATTTCCTTTCCTTCTACTTTCCATTTTTCCCTCCCACTTTCTGCCCCTCCTTCCATTCCCCTCTTTCCCTTCCTTTCTTTCTCCCTGTCTCTCTCTGTTTCATTCTTTCTCTTCATTCCTTCATCCTTCCTTCATCCTTCCTTCCTTCATCCTTACTTCCTCCTTCCTTCCTTCCTCCCTCCCTCCTTTCTTCCTCCTTCCTTCCTCCTTCCTTCCTTCCTTCCTTCCTTCCTTCCTCCTTCCTTCCTTCCTTCCTTCCTTCCTTCCTTCCCCCTTTCTTCCTCCTTCCTTCCTTCCTCCCTCCTTCCTTCCTTCCTCCTTCCTTCCTTCCTTCCTTCCTTCCTTCCTTCCTTCCTTCCTTCTTTCCTTCCTTCTTTCTTTCTTGAGTACCCTGGACCCTTCTGGATGAAGTGCTGAGAATTTAGTTTCTGTGGATGATAACTAAGGAAGGTGAAATTTGGCTCTGCACTTCTGTCTGAAAAGGACCTGATATTGCCAACATCTAACAGGCGCTATGCTTCTTATTAGTTGTATTCTGTGGATATACAAGGATCACTTTGAAGTTTTTAAGATTAATTTTATTTATGTACATGTGTACGTGCATGTGTCTGTATGTGTATGTATGTGCAAGTGCCCACAGAAGCCAGAAGAGGGTGTTGAAATTCCTGGAGCTGGAGTTATGGGCATTTGTGAGCCACCTACTGTGTGTGCTGGGTGGGATCTGAATTCCTCTTGATTGAGCAGCAAGTGCTCTTAACTGCTGAGTCATCTCTCCAGCATCCAACCTTGAAATTTTAAAGCAAAATTAGAATGTGGCTTGAAATATATATATATATTTAATTTAACGAAAACAAAAGTTGAGCATATCCTACCATCTCAGCCCTGTGCATTCCTTGTGTGACTGGTAGGTGAGATCCACTGTGCCCGGTGCCAGCAGTGCACAGCTCACATGTGACTTTCTTTCTTTTCACAGAAGATTCTCTTTTGGTTGTTTCCGTAACTGGTGAGCTCAAGATGTGGGATCTCTCGGCGTCCATCAATAGCATCCAGGTTAGCTTGGAAATCACTCTTTTCTGCGTCAGTACAATCATATACATTGAAAACTAAATTGTATAAATGTATTACATGCTCACAGTGGAAATGTTGGTGTAGAAATGTTCAAGTTTAATCTCTATCTATTCCCACCATTTGTTTTCCCGGGGTGGGCATTTTTACAGTTGAGTTGCATCCTAACAACCATGGCTCCATGAAAAAGGCAATTGTATTTATTTTTACACACACACACACACACACACACACACACACACACACACAGAGAGAGAGACACTCACACACAGAGAGGAAGAGGAAGGGAGAGAGAGAAGGAGGGAGAGAAGAGAGAGGAGAGAGGAGGAAGGGGCAAAGGAGGTGAGAGGGGAGGGTAAAGATTACATTTTGATAGCAGAAGCCTTTCTGGCCCCTCCAGTAGAGAAGCCTTCTCCTGGGGTGTGAGAGCAGTAACAGATGGATGAGTAGGAGCATCACTTTCTTGGAGATTTGTTACTGTGTTCACCTGCTGCTAGCATCGGGCTATCAGTTAAAGTAATGGACAAAGGGGAAAGAGTATTTGTGTTAGCCTGCCCCTCCACAGTCTTTAGAAATTCTGTCATCAGAGGCTTAAACACTGTGTTGTTTGTCACTCTTTAGAAACATACACCACACCCAACACTATGAGAAACTTACTGAAGGCCTATCGTTCTATTGTCCTGTGTTGGTTAGCTTGTGTCTTTTCAGTCTTGCTTGATTTGTTTACTTTTTTGTTTTATCAGTTTAGATATTGTGCATTTTAATTACCATATTATGTTTTTTTATTTCATCTTTCTGCTCTATCTAAAAGGCAGAAGCTTATATTCTCAGCAGCCCCCCCCCCCCGCCAGTGGTTCCTTATGGAGTGAGTTTTGGTTGACTATCTATAATAAGTTCTCAAATCTTAGGCGATTTTACTCATTTCTTATACAAACTAACTTTTTAGGTCAAGCCAGAGAAGAAAACAAGTTCTTTCCTTTTATAATGGTAGGACTGGACTATGCCAGGCATCTGGGAAGGATGCATGTCAGACATGCAGGAATACGTCTTCATATGTTTGTGTATAAACTCCCTTGTATTTGTACTAATTTTTTTTTCTTTTTGAAGGAGAAACAAGATGTCTATGAAAAGGAATCGAAATTTCTTGACTCCTTGAACTGTCAGACAATACGATTTTGCACATATACAGAGAGGCTCCTGTTGGTGGTGTTTTCTAAATGTTGGAAGGTATTAAAATTAACAAGAAATACCAGTGATGTAAAAATGTTTTTTTTTCTTTCTCGTTGGGCAGAAACAATAAGAATGTGGTTGAAACACAAAACAAACCTCTTAAATGGTATCACGAGGGCACGGGCTGCCTTGCCTTTTAGGCCCATCTTCCAAATTTTCAGCTCCTTGTCTTCAGATTCTCTGTCCCTAAGATATTGTATGCATACCAATATATTCTAACTTAATCAACAAACCATAGTAATAATGAAAATAATCTCTAGGGGCTGGAGAGATGGCTCAGTGGTTAAGAGCACTGGCTGCTCTTGCAGAGATCCTGGGTTTGTTTTCCAGCACCCACATGGCAGTTGTCTGTAACGTCCATGGACTTTCATGCCTTCCTCTGGCCTCTGTGGACACTGCATGCATATGGTTCACATATATACAGGCTGGCAAACAATCATAGACGTGAAATAAAAATAAATTATGTAGAAAAGAAAGGAATCTCTAAATTATTCTCAAACACAGTGCCCACATTTTAGTATTGGAAAGCTAACACATTGCACGCATCTAGAATGATCTTATTTTAATTTTTTTTTCTTTCCTGTGTCATTCCCCTGTTCTTAGGGAATATCCCTTCCTTCATTGTAAATAAATTCACTAATTCCTCGAAGTGGAAAGGAAAGCTAATTTGTCATTTGATAGCACCTTTATTTTATTTAGTATTTCATATAGCTGGCTGCCAGCAAAAACATGCTGTCTTATGATAATATATTTTTTGCCATATATTTAAAGTATGTGTGCTAACAAAGGATTTTTACTATATAAATGTTCTGTGTATAATACATTTTCAACTGTTATACTTAGCTACCCATGGGAAAAGAATAAAATTATTTATGCATTTTAGATTGGGGGTTTCTGTGTTTAACAGACATGTTGTGGAATGAGACATGCAGGTAAACTATCCACTGCAACTTACTGTAGGATAAATATGAAAAAAATCTCAGTGAAATAGTAGTAAGTTGTAAAATATTACCTTGCCCCATGAGTGCACCATGTTTATTATTAATACTTAATATGTTCTAGCATTAATTTCATCATCTCAGTAGTCTTTATAAGCATAATTTGTTGCTAATCTCATTGGCAGTTTCTATCTCGAGCTACCGTTGATATACGCCTACACTATCTTTTAGGTTTATGACTACTGTGATTTTTCCCTCCTGTGGACTGAAGTTAGTAGCAGAGGGCAGTGTTTTGCTGGTGGGGAGGTGCTTGCTGCCCACAGGATCCTCGTCTGGACAGAAGATGGTCACAGTTACATCTATCAGCTGCTGAACAGGTGGGCTCAGATGGGAGCGGCACAGGAAACATTCAGGTAGAAAATGAACTTTGGGAGGTTTATTGTGGAAAAGCCCTGCATGTAGCCCATGATCAAAACCAGAACCAAACAACTTTGGCACTGGAAGATTTACGCTGTGCTCACCAGGCCTCTGCCTTTGTACAGAACAGCAGGGGATGACGGAATGAGATTAGCCATGTAGAACTTGTACAGCTGGTGCTGGGCTTTCAAAAAGTCACTTGTAATTATTAACCCAACAATTTCTAACTAGAGTTTAGAAACTTGAATAGTACCATCAGCTTTTGAAAGTGGGAAGGGGAGACAAAACAAAGGACCCCAGATTTCTAAACTCTGCTTTTAATTTTTCTCATGCAGTGGGCTTTCCAAATGTGTGTACCCCTCGGATGGGAGAGTTCTTAAAGAGACCATCTACCCACACTTACTGTGCTCCACGTCTGTGGAGGAAAACAAGGTAAGGCAAGAAAAACAGGCCCAAAGCCCCATTTTTTTGTGGTTCAGAATTGCTTCAAAATGGAATAAACCTTGAAAGTTCAATTGAAGCATCATTAATGGCTACTTAAAAGAAAATGTTGCCCTTAAAAATCTATTTTTAAGTTTGGTTGATACAACAAAGCCCATTTATTATAAACTACAAATGTAGAAGAAAATAAAGGAGACATTAAAATTCTAATTTCCCCATCTTAAATATTTCCTGTGACTTTAAAAAATTGCTTTGTGTTTGCTTATTGTAGCTACGAATTGTTCAAATGTTGAAAAGTTGCAAGAACAGAACAATTGTGGATTCCATACCCTTTACCTAGATTCACCAGTTGTTGATATTTTGTCAACTTATTCTCTCTTACACACATACACACAACATTTTTGATCTGTATCATAGAACACTGTTAACATTTTGAAACTTTCTGAAATGGTTTCTCTCCTGATTTTGAAAAACTAGACTATATATTAAGATCATTTACCCATGTACTTAGATTTTTAAAAATATTTTATTTATTTTTAATCATTTAAAAAGTTTTAATAACTACGTGAT